TATAAATATATTAGCTAACAAACTCTACGGAGTTTTTTGCTATTATATATGTAGCTTAAGTTTATTCATATCTTAAGCTCATTACTATGTTTATATCATATAAGTATATTAGCTAACAAACTCTAAAGAGTTTTTTGCTATCATATACTTAGCTTCAGTTTCATCATATCTTAAGCATTATGGTTACATTATAACATGTATTAGCTAACAAACTCTACGGAGTTTTTGCTATTATATATGTAGCTTAAGTTTATTCATATCTTAAAGCTCAGTACTGTGTTTATATCATATAAGTATATTAGCTAACAAACTCTAAAGAGTTTTTACTATCATATACTTAGCTTAAGTTTCATCATATTTTAAGCATTATGGTTACATTATAAAATGTAATAGCTAACAAACTCTACGGAGTTGTTTTGGCTATTTAGGTTGCTTAAGTTAATTATATCTTAAGCACAGTTCTATAATCATACTATATATATGCCTACAACTCTTAGGAGTTCTACTATTATATATATGTTCAGCTTAAGTTTCAATCCTTAAGCTCAGTCATATGTTCATTTCATAACATGTATTAGTTAACAAACTCTCAGTAGTTGGTTACTATTATACAGCTTAAAGTATCATTATACCTTAAGCACAATTCTGTTATAACTTACATATATGCATATTGTAAGCTTACTACTTTGGTTCTTATAAAAGTATTCATTATAAACTATCAACAGTTTATACTATCACATTAATAGCTTTAGCTTAATTAATGTTCTATATACTTTTATTATATTCAGTAAATTGTAATAACCCTTATATGGCAACTGATAAGTTAACAGCAGGAATTCAGTTCAGTGCCTTCATGAAGTTCCCTTAGGGTTATTACAATTATCTCAGTTCAAATCACTAATTAGTAAAATCCAAAGTATATATAATCCCACCTCCTATTCCGTAGGATTCTACAAGCAAATAAACATGAGTCAGGATAAGAAAAAATATGAAATTTTTAAAGTAAAATTAATATTTTTATACTTATCCTGACTCATGAGGTAAGCCCTCCCGTCCTCCCCACTTAACACTTTGGATTTCCCTGGAAATTCAGGTGTTGGGCTCAGTATATGAGGAGAGAGTGAGGCACATGGGTTCAGGTGGCGCCCTCGTTCCCGCCCCGCTTGTGGAAGGGAGGTAACTCGTGGTCAGTACTAATGAGTGATTTTTTATTGAAGGGAACTTCAATTGGGAGATACAAGTGTTCCACTAGGTTCGCCAGAAGAAGAAGACAAGCAAATAAACATGAGTCAGGATAAGTATAAAAATATTAATTTTACTTTAAAAATTTCATTACAGCTCCTTTGGCAGTCGACAAAGCGATGCACGTGGGGGCAGAGAATCTGGGCGATATATCAAGCAGCTGAATCACGGACTTCCCATGGGCTCCCCACTATCCCCCATCCTAACAGAAATTTACATGGCCGACCTGGAAGAGAAGGCCCTAGAAACTGCACCCTTCAAACCATCCTGCTGGTACGCAAAGTGGATGACACCTTCGATCTGTCCCTCCAACCTCAGCAAGATCCAAAGCAGCTCCTGCCCATCTCAACAGCCAACATCCCGCATCAAATTCACCATTGAAACAGAGCAGAACAACCAACTACCTTTCCTTGATGTCCTTGTGTCCCGCACCTCCTGCAACTTCCAGACCTCCGTGTACAGAAAACCAACTCATAATGGATCAATACATCCACTACAACTCCAACCACCCACCTAAAGTCAAGACCGGGCGCCTCTCACATTGACCAGAAGAGCCAAAACATCTGCTCAACAAACCTACAGGAAGAAATTGAACACCTGAGGAAAGTCTTTGTGGATAACCATGTAATCACCAGTGAGTGAGCAGAACCATCGGTAAGCAACACTTTCACCTCCTGCCAAAAGATCTAAACCAGAATCAGCCCCATCAAGATATCCATTCCCTACATTGGGTAAACCATCACACCAAATCAGCCGACTACCTGAAACAACAGGCAGGAATAGACACTACCTTCTCAGCAGCGACATCCTCCAGCCTCAACAACCTCCTCCATGCCAACGGAAGAAAACAACCCAGTCACAACAACAACAACCCGAAATGTGTTATTTACAAAATAGGAGCTGTGATTGTGGACAATGCTACATAGGTGAAACATCCGACCCATCAACACCCGAAGTTAAGAACATCGCACCTCTGTTGCTAATTCCGACACCAAATCAGCTATCTCTGACCACATCAAAATGCCAACCCCAATCATCAAATAGAGTGGTCCGACATCACCATTCTCGCCAACAACCAAGCGGACTTCACTAAACGCGAAGCTCACAGAAGCCATTCATATCAAACGCCACAAGCCTACCATCAACCGTGACCAAGGATGCTTTGCATGCTTTTGATCTGTTCCACTCCTCCACCAAGCCCAGTCTATTGTATAAACTTCGCATCCATTGTATAAACATCTCATTGTAACTTCATCTCTGGCTTCCATTCACTATCCTTTATGTACTTACTGGCTTCATCAGCTTACTGCTTAGCCAATCATGGCAATTATGTTGTTTCCTTTGTCTATTATGTTGTTTCATTGTTATATACAGTATATATATGCACCTCCTACACTTCATGTATCACTCTTGCTTGACAACGGTACAAGAATCTGTATCGAAACGTCGCACTCACGAAAATAAAGAAGTTGTTATCCATAAAACTTGTTATATATTGTACGTCTCAACTTCTATAATGCCACTCAAACAAGCAGCTGAAAGATTGCCTTGGACGAGCATCAGTTCCGATCTGCAGGTGTATGAGATGGCTCCCCACATCATCACACCATCTCCACCATATCTGTCCACTTGCCTGATGCAGTTGGATGCAAAACGTTCAGTCCGTGGTCTGTAGACACATTGTCTTCCGTCACGTCACTTGAGGGGATACTGCGATCCAGCACTGAACCATATGTGCCTCCAGTTTCCAAGGTTCCAAGGCTGGTGCGCATTACACCACCTGACTCGCGGATATTGATGTAATCGTGTCAGTGAGTGAGTCATATCGGTAATATTTCAGCCATGTCGTGACGTAATCGTGTCGGAGAGGGGGCAACTTTTGGACGTCTGGCACGCATTCCTACCTCTTGGAGACGGTTCCTGATTGTCAGGTCAGACATTCTCCAGGCTCAAAACGGGTGTGTCCCGGGCAGAATGATGGCAGTCACGTAGGTGGGTTACCCGGATGTAGCGATCTTGGGCTGGTGTGGTGACTCATGGATGGTCATTTGTCGAAATGGAATGCACAAAACGATCCCACAAACGAGTTATTGTGCTGGGATGAATGCTGAGGGTCCTCGCCACGACACTCTTGGATTCGCCAGCTCCCAATGGCAATAATTTGGTGGGCACCGTTGAGGTGTCAAATTTTCTCATCCAGTATTTGCAAGGGTCTTGGATTGGATCTTGCGAGACGAATTTGGGTCTTTTATTGTCATAGGTTGTACTCATGCTTTGCATGCTTTTGGTTGTGTTCCATAACAGTCAGCTCATCATGACAATCATGATCAATAAAACCATTCAAAATCGTATATGGTTGTTCTTCTAAACCATACTAACTACAATATTCAACCCTCAAAACATGCTTAATTTGACATATGCGTACAAACTTTCGATCATTAGTTTCAAATGTTATGTTTTGAAGAGTGTATTTTAAAGCACATATGTACACAGAGGCACTTTGAAAATAATTGCAATGTTAAATAAATGGAGAATATGAATAATATCTCAAAAGGTTATGGATGGATTTGAATCAATTTTGGTGGTTATGTTAGGTATGACACGAGCTATCTGCGTACGGTTTGGTGAAAGTTCATTAAAGTACAAGTACACAGTAGTACTTTAAAAATGTAATAGTGAAAGGAGATTGCTGTGCGATGCGGTGTCATGTTCTCGAACGAGGGCCCTTCTAGTTTCCAAATTAAGAAAAAATATGCGTAGAATTCATGCTTGTGTTTGTATGACAAATAATGTCGAAGCTTGTATTTCAACAGCATATTTTGTTCTTGCAGGTTAATGACGGATTGATTGACTATGGAAGTTACTTAACAATGTGAAAGTTCAGATAAATATACTAGTGCACATTATATATTGCACTTGCATACCCCACTTGTAATATGTAGTTATCTGTTCACTGTGATACAATTTGTCACTCCTGTATTAATACAGTCAGATTATATTGACTGCAGATTTGGCTTTATGTCGTTTGTCATTTAATTACCCAGACACGAGTGTCAGTGTGTCAATTCTGACTGTACTGGTAGGCCTGATTTGACACTTGTGCACGGCTATATGATATTCACATTAACCTTGCCTGGATACTATAATTACTACATAAGTGTGTCATGGTAGTATATTTTATGAAATGGGAGAATACATAATTGAATAAGTGGTTTCCATTAACACAGGCCAATACTAACAATGTTGGTGTCCGATGAAGGAAATACAATAGTAAGACAATAATTTATATGATTATGTCATATTTTATGTCACCACATTGAAATTAGAAGCATATTATGTGGTTATCTCTTTATCATGCATCATAAGCCACCTTTTGATATGCTACATGACTATGTTGTGATAGGTTTATGAAAACATATTTTTCCTGAAATGGTGTCGCAAGAAATTTTGGGAACTCATATTCAATCACCCCACAATGACACTTATAGCAAACAGAAAAAATGGAACCATGTTTTTCCTGAATCCATACACAATAGTGATTACAATTAGTATTGGTTCCAAAAATTAACATGTAATTCCCACGGAATTACACAAACCCCCCCTCTATATGGAAGGGTGGAGAAGTGCTGATCCCTCTTTTCTGTCTGCGATGTGTTGTTCATCTGTGTAAGGTTACTTCAAGGGTTCACCAAGTTGTTTATGTCTGCGGTAACATGCTACTTTCTTGGTCTGTTGTTACACTGTGGCACCTGTTTCAGGGGAGACAGCAGCTCTCATGGCACAACTGGCTCAGTTGGAGAAAAAGAAGGAGATGAACATATCAGTGCCAGTTGATGTTGGGCATATTGAAGAACAGGTAGAGGAACCATATTGGTAACAACTAGAAATTTACTTGCGAATCATGTCTCTCAATAAGGAAATATCTTGTAAAACAGAAGTTGTAGGAAATGCAGTTCATAATAAGGGATGTTCAATAAGAGCTGGCTTGCAGACTGTTTGAAGGACTGTCAATGTACTGCAGGTATTGTGATCAGGTAATTTTCTGCTCTGTTATCAGGTACTGAAGTTCTATACCTCTATTCCTAAAGTGAGTTATGCTAATGCACTGAACCTGTGCTACAACTACAGAAGCATTTCCAACTTCTTGTCCAGGTAAGCAGATACTGTCTCATGGTAGCTATCACCATATCTTCAGTACTGTTGTTTAGTTGTTTCAAAAGAACAAAATATTTGAATTTGAACACACATATACACACACTGGCCTGTTCACCTTGACCATGTATTATATTCAAAACAGGTGACAATACAACCATTTATTCATGAAAGAAAAACATATTACATTGTTAATCTATTAGTCACAGGTATTGAGACGGGTACCGCGGTCCAACTCATAACCCACCTGTTCACATATGATACGTACAATTCAATCAAATGATTGTTTTCAAATTCAGAAAATCTCAAGCCTTTTAGTGTTTAAATGTCATGGGTTAGAGATTAGCTAATTTCTTTTGACATAATATTTGGTGGAAGTAAGAGAAGCATTATATGTAGTGAACAATATGACCTTATCACACCCTGATCTAACTCTAAAATATACTAACCTAATCAAACTAAAGGGTTATAGACACTACAGGATATAGGTAAGTGTAGATAGTTATCTATGAGTATGTTATAAGTTGAACTTATAAAGTTCAGTATTTAAGTCAACAGATTCTTGACTGGCTCAATAAAGTAATAACTCAATACATAGATTAACATTACATACACAAATTAATTATTTTTCCTTATCCTGACTCATGCTATATTGCTTATCTCCCTTCTCCTTTTGACGGTTACAAGGAAACTTGAATCCCTAGTTCCCTGAAGAGAACATAAAATCTCTCACCCACGAGTTGCCTCCCTTTTCCTGCCAAAAGCAACCCATGTGACTTAAGCTATGCTCTCATCACTCTCTCCTTCATCGCCCAACCATTTGCTTGGGCGGTCACTATGGGTCCCTTTTGTGGCTAATATCCTTATTTCGGCCTAGCAATCCAAATTAAGGACGTGAATTGCATTTAGATCCTTTATATAATCGTAACGATGTATTAAATTATGTAAATTTCTACTAATTTTCGAATTTACACACTCCATTTCAGATGACTGTCTACACATGGTAGCATGTAAACAATGCAGGCTATGTATGTTAGCGACTGATCCACCCCCTGTGTGTACTTTCTGCGTCAATAACTCGTGTTCCTTAGTCTCACGTTATAAATATTGTGCACCTTTATCACAAGTTGAATTTAATAGAATTTTGTTATCACGTTGTATGGAGAAATACAGGCTCTACAGCAGGGTGGCTGCTGATAAGGGTGGCTCTCAAGTATCTGAGTGTGAGTGTGAGTTGGTTGAGAATTCTTCAATTCCCTCCGGGGTCTCTCCCATCTCTGTCGTTCTTACAGAGACAGCTTCACGGCCCCTCCCTAATAGGAAGTCCCTTCTTAGGGAGGAGACTGAACTACAGAGGCTGGTTAAGAAGAAGAGATCATCTGCGTCGTCTAAGAAGTCGTCTACGTCATAGATAACATCATCATCTCATTCATTTAGATCTAGTAGACCAACGAAAGTCTCTGAGTGTAGCTACATCGTTTCGAGAATGCCTTGACGGCATTGGAAGAAGTAGACGCATCACCTCTGGTCCTCGAACTGCAGATTACTGTGAATACTTCACAAAAGACGACGACAACCAACAGCAGTTCCAGGGTTGAGGAAAAACAGTCATCTCAACATAGACCTTCCTCTACACCATCAGGGTTCGTGAACCTGTTGGTCACACTCTACTGATTCATCCCATATCTCTACACTGTTCGCGAAAGGGTTCAACATGAAACCTTTCCTTAATGTGAGGAAATTTCCATTACACAACATGGAACCTTTCTTTAGGGCGCCGGACATACATGACGACTTCCATCTCCTCAGCGACTCTTAAGCCACACAGCTATAGAGTGGAAGATAAGAAGCTGGCACATCTAGAGAGACGAAGCCTTGATACACCAAGTCTCTGCTCTGTAAACCTTGGGCAGCACCTACTCTAATTATCCGGTATCCGATCAGCATCTCAGAAAGTATGCCACGACTCCAAGGATCAGATGTTGATCAGATCCTGTCCAACCATCAACCGTGGGTGGACGTCTAGGTTACTACTGGGAGAATTGGAGTATCCTAGAAGACGACAACATCCTACATGTGTTGCGTGAAGGATATGAGATCCAGCTCAAGGCGACACCACCTCTCACCGTCAACCCACAGGTATACCAATACCCCGAACAACAACGCATCAAGTTGACCAAGGTCATCGACTCACTGCTAGCGAAAAAGGCTGTAGAGTTCCTACATCAATGCAGTCTCACTCCCGGCTTTTATTCTCCAATTTTCCTAGTAATAATAATAGCATATTTGTAACGCACATATATCCATGCTTATGCATGCTCAAAGCGCACAAATAAAAATACAAGTAAGGCAAAGAGCTACAGTTCAAAGGCTATCTTGAACATGTGTGTTTTTAGATTGGATTTTAAGGTATGAAAGTCAGAACAGTCTCTGAGACTCTGTGGGAGACTGTTCCAGGCCATTGATCCTGCGTGGACAAAGGACCTGTTTCGATACTGCACTGTCTTTACTTTGGGTACAACAAGCAAGTTCTTATCCTGTGAGCTAAGAGATCGGGAATGCGTGTACACGATTAGAAGGTTGGATAGATAAGAAGGCGCAGTTCCAGTGAGACAGCGGAAAACAAGGCATAAGAGTTTAAACTTGATCCGGAACTCGACTGGAAGCCAGTGGAGAGTGTACAGTATAGGAGTAATGTGTTCATATTTTCCAGAGCGAGTCACGATGCGGGCGGCGACGTTCTGCACTCTCTGTAGCTTGACTATCTGGGTCTTTGATGCACTGGCCAGTAAACAGTTACAATAATCAAGCTTACTCATTACAAGTGACAATACAAGAGTCTTGGAATATGTCCAATGTTGCGGAGTGACATGAAACAGGTTTTGACAAGATGAGATATATGAGAATCAAGTGACAAGATTGAATCTAAGAACACGCCCAGGGCCCCGTTCCTCAAAGCGATCGCAGCGCAAAGTTGATCGTAAGTCCCATACTTTAACAGAGACTTACGACTGTTGTAGCGCTACTATCGCTTTGAGGAACGGGGCCCAGGTCTTTGACTTATCAGAAAAGTAGATACATGAATTGTCAAATTCCAGTGAGTTGACTCCACACTTGGACCTCTGCTTCTTTGGAGCAAGGAGAATGCACTCTGTCTTGTTGCTGTTGAGCTTAAGTTTGTTGTGGGTCATCCAGGATTTAACGTCATCACAGCAGTGACTCATGTCTGTTAGTGCGCTACATGACTGTTCTTGGTCTGCAGGAAAACACTTGTATAGCTGTACGTCATCTGCGTATTGATGACGATCTATGTTGTGTTCAGCAATCACACTTCCAAAAACCGAGAAAAAACTCCAAGGAGTAGTTTCGCCTCATGTACAACATGAAGAAAGGACCTTGCACATAAATCAACTGGGATTCGAGGCAGTTATCAAGGCAGTTCAACACTAGGCGCACTGTGAAGCCCATTTCTGGTGCCCCCCCCCCGTGATATTGCTGGAATATTGCTTAAAGCGGCGCAAAACTAAACTCAGTCAGTCAGTACCGAGGAATCAAGTCCTTATCATTCACAGAGACAACTCAACAGTAGCCTTCTACATAAATCTCCAAGGCTCAAAGAGATCAGCGCCTCTACTGCAACTGACTCTTCAACCTAGCAGACAACTTATGGATGAAGGCTTGTCACATTTCAGGAGCAAAGAACGTCTTAGCCGACACCTTATCCAGACCATCACCTACAGAATGGATGCTTCACCCGGAAGCATTCCAACTGTTAACAGTAGATCAAGGCCGTCCTCTCATAGATCTGTTTGCAACACGCTTCAATCATCAGATGGCAATGTTCGTCTCACCAGTACCAGATCCACAAGCATGGGCTCTCGACGCGCTAGCCATATCTTGGGAGGGACTGAATGCCTACGCATTTCCCCCGATCCTGTTACCTCCAGTTCTACAGACCAAGTCCTCCAACTGATTTTGGTCACGCCCTACCTGCCAGCAAGAAGTTGGTTTCCAGACATCCTACAGCTCTTAGGTAAACCAATGCTGCGTCTACCAGATTGGCCGAATCTACTGATCTACCCTCACACAAAACAACCTCAAGGCAACGCAATAGGACTCCGGCTACACGAATGGAACGTATTACGCACTGCCTGAGACAAAGAGGGTACTCCACCAGAGCAGCTAAGGCAGTTACACTGGCCTTAAGATGATCAATTCGGAACCTCTATGATGAAAAGTGGAGGAGTTTTGACCAGTTTTCTGCATGCAAGGGATTTTCGGCAGTGAAAATTACACTTCCTCAAGTAGCAGAATACTTATGTCATCTGAGAGCTACTACACACCTGAAGGGATCTACACTCTCGACATACTTGGCGGCGATCAGCTCCGTTATCACCATGGATACGGGAGTCAAGCTCACCAAAGTACTTGAACTTGTCGCTCTAATTAGGTCATTTAACTAGAAGACCAGCAGCAGAAGTTTAGAGCTCCAGCATGGGACCTCAACTTAGTGCTGCAACATCTTACCAGCGATGACTATGAGCCACTGAGAGACACAACTTTTGATTTGTTAACTCAGAGGACATTATTCCTACTCGTCTTAGCTACAGCGGCGAGAATGTCAGAAATATATGCCCTCGATTACGGAGGAATCTGGTTTGACCACGGAGAGCATACTGTAGTCCACCTGGGTCTCAGATGAATCTTTATAGCGAAGAATCAGCTACCTGGTCAACCAGATTGACAATTCCACGTCCCAGCATTGTCTACGTCACGACTATTAAAGTCGCCCGAACTACTATCTCGTTTTGAATCAGAGCTGTCATCCTATGAGCTTACAAAGCAGCGGGGCTGGATCATCCCAAAGCCCCAACCCACACAAGGTTAGAGCATTAGCCTCGATACTCGCCCTACATGGAAATTGCTCTTTATCGTCCATCATGGAAGACTGCTTCTGGAAGTCGGACACAGTGTTCGCCAACCACTATCACTGAGATATCGCTACAAAAGATGTATCTGGTATCAACCAGTTCGGCCCTCTTGTTGCAGCGCAACAACTCACAGCTCCAGCTAGACGTTGATAAACTCACCCTTATCACATTGATTTGTTGACGCCAGGCAACTGCCACGGGCATGTTCCCTTGTCTTACAAGATAAGTCAGCACATGAGTGATCTAGATTCAGTTTCGGTAATAGTCCTTACCTTAACATATGGGTCGCGATTCAATTTCGGTAATAGTCCTTACCTTAACATAAGGATCGTTCTAGATAACTAGACATTGAGGTGTACTAGATTATCTAAAATCCAGGAAATCTATAAGATTTACTTCTTTTATTGACTTAAGTATAGGTGGTCCCCTAATTGACATCAGGATCTTTTGGAAGCCGCCAAGAAGACTGACTGACTGACTGACTGACTGACTGACTGAGTTTAGTTTTACGCCGCTTTTTTAGCAATATTCCAGCAATATCACGACGGGGACACCAGAAATGGGCTTAACACATTGTGCCCATGTGGGGAATCGAACCCGGGTCTTCAGTGTGACGAGCCAACGCTTTAACCACTAGGCTACACCACCGCCCCTGCCGCCAAGAAGAGCTCCCAGGGGGTATATGATCAGATGATATTGATCAACAGTCACAGTGAATCTCGTTAGGTGGCTTACCCACCACCTATTCTGTCGGATTCGATAAGCAATGTAGCATGAGTCAGGATAAGAAAAATATGTAATTTTTCTGATAAAACCGATATTTTATACTTATCCTTACTCATGATCTGAAAGGCCCTCCCATCCGTCCCGTCTCAGCACTACGGGCTTCACTTCAGGCCCTAGTGCGTTCTTATTCAGGAGAGAGTAATGAGAGCATAGCTTAAGTCACAAGGGACGCTTTTGGCGGGAAAAGGGAGGCAACTTGTGGGTGAGTGATTTTACGTTCTCTTCAGGGAACTAGGGATTCTAGTTTCCACGTAACCGTCAAAAGAGATGGGAGATAAGCAATATAGCATGAGTCAGGATAAGTATAAAATATCAATTTTATCATAAAAATTACATTTTAAATGATGATTTAGTACCAAAAAAACTTATGTACAGTGGTCATTTTCCGAAGTGTTTGTTTGGCCTACAATGACTGCTGTAGATTTCACTTCACAGTGAAGTTTGAAGAGGAGGTACATACATGCTTAACTTCATTATTTAAACGAGTACTTGGTTTGTAGTAATGCTTGTAAGAAGAAATGAATCCACTATTTCCATAATATATAAATCACATGCTTGGTTGTGGTTATTAACATAAAAAAGTCCTGTTTACCAGTATGTTAAAAGTATATGAAATGTGTGACGGTTATGAGTGTATGTATGTTGTACATATTGTGATATTGTTGTCCATGGTGTTGGTTCAAGTTCACTCTTCTGCTGCAGCTACACTCCACAGACTGTGAGTGTTCGAGGGAGGATGTCAGAGGTACGTGCCGCTGAAGTCTGCCGCTATGTGGCTCATACTTTTGATCTGCAGATGCTGCCAACAAACAGATAAAACTAGGAATCAGGTTCGTGGTACAGCGTATACAACAGATCCTACCACAGGATGATATGGGCTGACGTTATAGTACAACAGATCCTACCACAGGATGATATGGGCTGACGTTATGGTACAACAGATCCTACCACAGGATGATATGGGCTGACGTTATGGTACAACAGATCCTACCACAGGATGATATGGGCTGACATTATGGTACAACAGATCCTACCACAGGATGATATGGGCTGACATTCTGTACAACAGATCCTACCACAGGATGATATGGGCTGACATTATGGTACAACAGATCCTACCCATGGATGATATGGGCTGACATTATGGTACAACAGATCCTACCACAGGATGATATGGGCTGACATTCTGGTACAACAGATCCTACCACAGGATGATATCGGCTGATATTATGGTACAACAGATCCTACCACAGGATGATATCGGCTGATATTATGGTACAACAGATCCTACCACAGGATGATATCGGCTGATATTATGGTACAACAGGTCCTACCACAGGATGATATGAGTAAACAGTATGGTGTAATAGATGCTACCACAGCATAAAAAGGGCTGAAGTCAGAATTCAATTCACTAGATGATAAGCAAGGAAGTTGTGGATGTTTCTTTCTCCTGTATAATGCCGTACTCAATCATATGTGAGGGCACCTCGTAAAAGATCACGTCTAGGCCTGACATTCCATTGTTTGTTATTGTGAGCTAAGATGAACACTGAAAGGTACAATATATAATAATCGAGATGATAAAGGACAATAACTATTATTAGGTTTATCATACAATTTAGACTTCCGCATTTCATTAGAGCAGATTTATCTTGCAGCAAATAGTGAAAGACCGAGTTGGGATCAAGCATTTCTCTGCAGCATACATGGACGTCTCACAAGGACTGTCACGGTGCAATGTCTGTGATAACCAGGTTGAACACATGTGAATTCATGTGAATATAGCAACTGCTATAAAGAGGTGTTGGAATGGATCATTTGTATATAATTGATCTATGACCAATACATGTGCAATAAATATTTGGATATTAGTGGTTTGTTCTGTTTTCAGTTAAGTGGAGAGCTGGAGACATACTGAGATAGCGGTATGATAGGACAAGATGAGAGCACAGCAGTGGTCCTATGTTGCCCCAGTTCCGAAATTAGTCAACCCTGGGATTACACGTAACCATCGCCAGTTTCACCCAGTTCCTACATAAATCAACCTTGGGATTACACGTACCCAGTGCCTACATTAGTCAACCCTGGGATTACACGGAAAACCATCGCTAGTTTCACTCAGTGCCTACATTAGTCAAACATGGGATTACCTGTACACAGTGCCTACATTAGTCAAACATGGGATTACACATACCAAGTGCCTACAATAGTTAAACATGGGATTTACACCTACCCAGTGCCTTCAATAGTCAAACATGGGCTTACACCTAATCAGCACTAGTTTCCCTGGTGCCTACATTAGTCAAACATGGGATTACAGGTAATCAATGTTTTTACCCCACAGTGCCTTTATTATTCAAACGTGAGCTTACACTTTACAATCATATGTTGCCTCAGTGCCTACATTCGCCAAACAAGGGATTACAGGTAATCATCTTTTTCCCATGTGCCTACATTAGTCAAGCATGGGATTACAGGTAATCAACACCTGTTGCCCCAGTGCCAATATTAGTCAATCGGGGGGTATGTGGAACGATCATCTGTTTCTCAATTGCCTACATTAGCCAAAAATGAACTTACACATTACCATCGCCTGTAACCCCAGTGCCAACATTATTCAAACGTGAGGTTACACTTTACCATCGCATGTTGCCCCAGTTCCTACATTAGTCAAACCAGGGAGACTCTATATATGTTGTAGAGTATCCCTGGTCAAACATGAGATTGGACTTAACTTCGTCTGTTGTCCCAGTTCCTACATTATTCAAACGTCAGATTACACCTAACCATCGCATGTTGAACTAGTGATTACATTATTCAAACGTGAGATGACGTAACATCATCTGTAACCCCAGTTTCTACATTGGTCAAATGTGTGATTACCAATAACCATCGTCTGTTGCCTGCAGTGCCTACATCAGTCAAACCCGAGGTTACCCATAACCATCGTCTGTTGCCTCCAGTGCCTACATTAGTCAAACCCGAGGTTACCCATAACCATCGTCTGTTGCCTGCAGTGCCTACATTAGTCAAACCCGAGGTTACCCATAACCATCGTCTGTTGCGCAGGATGACACGCACCCAGTGCCAATATTGGTCAAACGTGTGATTACCCATAACCATCGTCTGTTGCCCGCAGAGATTGCATGTAGCCACTGTATCAAGTCGACTTTGAATTGCCCGTGTGATGTTCAGAAGACCTAATTGTAGAGGTTTATGATTGATTTGTCCTTGATTCCGTACAATCTATGTTGTGATGAGCCGACTTGTTGTGGATCTACAGTGGTCAAGTTATGTCTTTGGTGGAATATATTCCCCAGTCGACTGCTCATAGACTGGCAAAGTAAGAGTGTTGGCTACGGACCCTAACCTTTCCCACCTGCATGCCTTCATGGGAAACTACTTTCAATAACAGATTTTTGTATCGGAAATGCAACCCTAAAGGACCGTTACCTTGCATGGTGAATGTTGGTGTGTAGCTTTTACCAAACATTCAGTGATAATATTTCTTCCTTGCAGTCTTTGTCGTTTCTAAACAAAATGGTTTATTAAAGTACCTTTTTCATTATCTTCATTACTAAGCTTTTTGCATTTTTACAAACAAATGGTGGACGGGTTTCAAATGTTACTTTCAACGTAGATAATTTACGTGCTTTGTTGTTTGTGGACGATGTTTCCGAGATTGCCGACACTATAAGCACAGAAGAGGTTAGATGTATTCTACAAACTGGTATGAAAGTTCATCTAAGTAAAGCTTAAAGGTATTGTTTTTAGATAGTCTGGAAATTATGCAGAATGACACTTTGAAGGTAAACAGTTAGAAGCTGTACCTTGTCACGTACGTCCGTCGATGTTAGCGACCCCAAACCACTGTAATAGAAGGTGGCGCTGCTTCACAGGAAGAATCTGGCGGAATGAACCAAATTGACATTGGACGTTTGATCAGAAATACGCCTGGATGAGTCCGAGGGTTGTCTTGAGAATAGAGGCGGATTCAAGCAAAATGTATGTGTTTTCATGTCAAATGACGTGAAGGACAGCAGGGCGCATTGGCTAATCATCTGACAAAATGGTGTCTTCCCATTACGCAGACAGCCAGTTCGCAGACACCTTAGAACAACAACATTTACGGTTCAGTGAACAGATTATCTACTACCTGTTACCTACACATTATAATGGAATAGTCCAAATAAAAACACAGGAACAAACTGAAGCTATATTATTTATTTTGAAAGATGGACGAAAAGACAGTAATTTGAATTTTTATTGCGGCAATATGAAAACAGTTTATTTTCATAAACATTTCGGTTTAACCTTCTAGTCTAACGGGAGTCGGCATCATCATATTGAAAACATTAGCTTAGCTATTAGAAATTGCGACACTGTTGCTGAGTGTTGTCTCATATAAATCAAATAAAGACAAATGAGAACCTAAATTTTATTCATATGGAATATAGAAGTTATATGTTTTGCACTATCATTTAATGACAACAAAGTTCTATTTACCCACAAACTTCTCAGTAACGAACCTGTTTCAGGCTCACCTAGTCTGTCTCACAGCCCCTGAACCACATCATTTCCCCTCCCACCTAGTCTGTCTCACAGTCCCTGAACCACATCATTTCCCCTCTAATCTCAGCCAGGTGTCCCAGTTACACTGTTAAACTATTTATCCAATTGTGTATGTGCATACTGTTGTCAATGACAAACCGAATTGTAAATATGAAAATAAAAACAAAATCTAATTAATTACACCCAATAGCAATAGTTGTTACACTTTTTGATTGGATATCCCCTACGTTTTTAATAGTATATGTCAAATATCGGTGTATGTAATTAGTTCATCTCTATGAATTTTGGCTACCTCACCAGTGTTATCTCATGCTAAAATCTCTTGATGAATCCGGTGGACAATGTGGGTAACTAATATTAAGGATATTCGCTTCAAGTTTGGCTTTGGTTCCGTGTGGCTTTCTCAAGATGTTGGTGATTTTAAGTTATTATGCGATAATTTGAGCTTCGTCTCTCAGACAATCTAAGGCAAGTATGGTTTGAATTCATTGATAATTTATCTTAATCTTATAAATAGGTCCAAGCACTTCAACACAGAGAGTATCAGCTAAATTCAGAGGTAGAAACTTTGGCTTACATATAGAGACTTGAAGATGCTAAAATACCCCTATTGAGGAAACGTTTGGCAAGCTAATGAAGAATGGTTTGTTGAAGTTTGAAGATGAGATAGATGGTCTGTTTGTGTGTACATTATATAATAATGTCAGAAGTGCCTCCATCACTCCTCACGTACATAATTTAGAAAGCAAACCCTATCTGACACGTCATCTGAATGTATAATGAAAATGTTATGTATATTATGCAACACTATCCGCCTCTGTACTATATTCAATCTCGCATCTTTGACTGTTAATTGAAAACAGGGTAATTTATCCTGTAGTGGTATAACTAGTTTATTGTACACATCTTTCTCTTGAAATTAGACAGTAATGGGGTTGGATGGGTTACCAATGTGGAAACAATTACAATTTGAAGGTTAAATCAAGGTACCCCCTTCCCTTAGTACCTGTAACTCTGTCACCTGTTACAAACTGAATAATGTATAGACAACAGTGCCGTTATTTATCAATATTTCCCTGGTTTTCATAAGTCGTGTACAGTGTTATCGATGAAAATTGTCGTATTAATGCTGACCGAACGCTACCGACCGGACTTTACGACGGGCGCCCACTATCTTTCCTGTGCCGCATGACCGGCTTGCACCGAGCTTCAGGAATGTGAATAGGAAATAGTTTTATGAGAACAGCGTGTCTTGTTCTACATCTGTATTGTGTCGGATCATTCCATATACCTTAACCACGTCAGTCTGACATACAGGGTTGGAGTGTTCTCCCAGTGTATCCTAGCAACGTCAGTCTGACATACAGGGTTGAAGTGTTCTCCCAGTGTACCCTAGCAACGTCAGTCTGACATACAGGGTTGAAGTGTTCTCCCAGTGTACCCTAGCAACGTCAGTCTGACATACAGGGTTGAAGTGTTTCACCAGTGTATCCTAGCAACGTCAGTCTGACATACAGGGTTGAAGTGTTTCACCAGTGTATCCTAGCAACGTCAGTCTGACATACAGGGTTGAAGTGTTCTCCCAGTGTACCCTAGCAACGTCAGTCTGACATACAGGGTTGAAGTGTTCTCCCAGTGTACCCTAGCAACGTCAGTCTGACATACAGGGTTGAAGTGTTCTCCCAGTGTACCCTAGCAACGTCGGTCTGACACACAGGGTTGAAGTGTTTCACTGTGTACCTTAGCAACGTCAGTCTGACACACAGGGTTGAAGTGTTCCCCCAGTGTTCCCTAGCAACGTCAGTCTGACATACAGGGTTAAAGTGTTCCCCCAGTGTACCCTAGCAACGTCAGTCTGACATACAGGGTTGAAGTGTTTCACCAGTGTATCCTAGCAACGTCAGTCTGACACACAGGGTTGAAGTGTTTCACTGTGTACCCTAGCAACGTCAGTCTGACACACAGGGTTGAAGTGTTTCACCAGTGTACCCTAGCAACGTCAGTCTGACACACAGGGTTGAAGTGTTTCACTGTGTACCCTAGCAACGTCAGTCTGACATACAGGGTTGAAGTGTTTCACCGGTGTACCCTAGCGGTGTCAGTCTGACACACAGAATTGACGTGTTTCACCAGTGTACCTTAGCAACGTCGGTCTGATATACAGGGTCAAAGTGTTTCACCGGTGTACCGGTAGAACAAATGTTGAAACAATGCCAGGTAAAACCATTAAAATACATAAATCAATGTATGACATGCTTCACATGAATAAACAAATCTATTTCGATGTGATATATTTTGA